CATCCCTGGTCCCCTCATCTCAGACACCCCACATCTGTATCTCTTATACACATCTGTGACCTCCAGCACTCCCCAGTTAGCGACACCCCACATTCCTGATCCCCCCCACACTACAGACCTCCCAAACCCTCACAACCCACCTCCCAGACTTGCCCAAACAAACCCACCCTCCCCTCACATTCCTGGACCCACACAATGAAGGACCCCTCTCGTCCCTGAACTCTTCACACAGATTACAGAAGCCCCCCAACTCCTCTTGTCCCTCATTCTCCCAAACGGGATCCTTCCGTTTCACAGCCGTGAGTCCTAAAACCTTCATAGCTCTGACCCTCACCATATATTTTTAAAACCCTGCACCTTTCACTTCAGACCCCCTTTATCCTAAACACACCACATCCCTGATGCCCCCATACACCCACCACAGATTTCCAATACCCTCCAAGTCCCTGATTGACCACACCACTCATATCTTTGAGCACCCCTAATATTGTAGGCCCCCCTCATCCCTCACATCCCTGACCCACACCCACCTCTGCCAGACATACTCTGAAGACCTCTCTATATACCACACATACCTGACCTCCCCATACCCCTGAAGTTCCAGACCCACACACATGACCGATGCCCCCCAATATCCCATACCCTCTCATATCCTTGACCCCTTTCTAGACACCCCTCACATTCCAGAGCCACACACTCTCCTTCACATCCTATCCCCTTACATTCCTGATTCCTTCTCACACAAGAGATGCACCCCCCCTTATATCCTGGACCCTAATGCAGTAAGGGAATGATTCATAATGCTTTGAATTCCATAAGTATTTGAGGTATTTGCCGGGACTGTCCACAGAGAGATGTAGACTGGAGGGCATATACAATAGACATTTATTACCTTGACTTGGATGGTGTGGGAACCTGGGATGCTGAAAAGGTTATGTGGGCATGGAGAACACATTCCCTGGGTAACTAATACCATCCCTTCTACCATTCCTATTGGCTTAGGTTAGAAAAAAAGGTATTGTATGTGTGTATGTGTCGGGGCCGGGGGGAACCTTATTAGGCTTTTCTGGACCCTAAGGAAAACTGAAAATTCAAACAATATGTATTAGACACCTACTGTATGCAAGAAGGCACTGCTCTTGGGTCTAGAAATATAATTGTAAGGTACTTCTCCTTTTCTAATGTGGCTTCTTACCTACTGAAAAGGAAAGAAAAAGAAAACTTGTGTGAGAAAAGCAGCTTGAGACAGTTTTGAGCCCCTGAGAGAAAACGGCTCCTCAGACAAATGTACTAAAAGGACCTGTTTGTATTTGGTTTTGTTTTACAAAGCAAACCAATTACATTAAAAAAAAAATACATGTATTATTTATTTTTAACATTCTTTTTTTCGATTTTGAGTTTCAAATTTTCTCTCCTTCCTGCCCCTCCCCCACCAATTGAGAAGGCAAGAAATGTGATCATTATACATGTGAAATCATGCAAAACATTTACACATTAGCCATGTTGCAAAAAAGGGGGGGAGGGGCATCAGAAAAATAAAGAAAGTGAAAAAATTATGCTTCAATCTGCACTCACTCCATCAGTTCCCTCTCTGGAGGTGGATAGCATTTTTCATCATGAGTCTTTGGAATTGTCTTGGTTCATTGTGTTGCTGAGAATAGTTAAATCATTCACAGCTGATTATCGTACAATATTTTGTTACTGTGGACAATGTTCTCTTGGTTTGTCTCACTTCACTTTGCATCAGTTTATGAAAGTCTTACTAGGTTTTTCTGAAACACAATGGTATTCCATCACAATCATAGATCACAACTTGTTCAGACATTCCTCAACTGATGGACATCTCAATTTCCAATTGTTTACCACCACAAAAAGCTGCCATAAATATTTTTACACCTAGAACCTATTTGAAAACAGCTCAGAAGCAAGAGCACTGATATAAGCATTTATTAAACATCTACTATTTGCCCAGCATTGGGCTAATAAGTACTAGGGATACAAAAAATAATAATAAGGTCCTGCCTTCAAGGAGCTTACAGTCTAATGAGGAGAAAACATGAAAACAAATATATATATAATATATATATATGATAAATTGCATATAATCTTAGAGGAAAGGCATGAGTATTAAGGAGAATCAGGAAAGGCTTCTTCTACAAGGTAGGGTTTTAGCTGGTCCTGAAGGAAACCAAAGTATAGTGATGAGGAGGGAAAGAATTCCAGGCATGGAGGCCAGCCACTGGGAGTGCCATGTGGGAAGAACCGCAAGGAAGTCAGGGTTACTAGATCGTAGAGTTTAGGAAAGCTATTGCAATAATCCAGATGTGAGGTGATGAGAACCTGCACCAGGGTGGTGGTGGTATCATTGGAGAGAAGAGGGCATATAGGAGAGATATTGTGAAGGTAACAACAAATCTTGGCAATAGATTGAACACGGAGGGGTAAGAGAAACAAAGAGTCAAGGATGACATCTTGGTTTTGAACCTGGATAAATATTTGTAAAGCGTTTTATAAACCTTAAAGTGCTACATAAATACTATTAGTTTTATTATTATAAATAGATCGAGAATTATCTGCATGGGGATGACTGAGACCACCAAGTGAAGATTATAGAGTGAGAAGAGAAAAAGGCTCAGGAGGGAGTCCTGTGCTTGTGACCTTGATGAAGATCTAGAAGAAGAAATGCATCCTCCCCCCCCCCAAAAAAAACCCAACTAATTCGAATATGACTGCTTGCAGGACTTAGTAATTTATTGCTGGGAAAATCTGCAACAAAGAACCATTTGGGGATTATGGGACTATTGTAAAGTAATTATAGTTCTTACGCATGATGGAAATGTGGATTTGGGGGTTTCTCATCATCAAGTAAAGGTGAGTAACTTCACCCCAGGACCTCACTGCTTTGAAACAGGAAAATGATGAGAAACCAGATCAGAAAATCTGGAGTCAGTGACCAAAGAACCCATGGGCAAGAGAGATTAGGCTGCTCTATCACTTGGGAATCCACCAGACATGGTTATTAACACATCCCCTGCATTCTGATACAGCTTAATAATGACAGGGTTGCAGATCTCCAATTCTTTCTGCTGATGCCCAGTATCTTCTTTCCCAGCTTAGAGGCAGATGATCATTTCTTGACATTTGTCCTCTCTTCTCCTTTTTATGGGTAAATTTCTTGAGAAGGCTATCTATAATCAAAGCCTTCTCACTCTTTTCTGAACTCTCTGTTGTCTGACTTCTAACCTCATAATTCAACCCAATGCTCTCTTCATTGCCAAATCCAATGATCTTTTAAAAAAAATTCTCATTCTCTTGACCTCTTTTCAGCCTTTGGAGTCCCTTTTTCCACTGGGTCCAAAGTACCATGGCAGAGGTCAATGATAAGCTCTTCAAAATGGATATTCTACCTGGGATAGAAGTCAAAACCTTTATAGAGGGCCAATCTCATTACTGGCCAATCTCATTAGTAGATGAGAAAGTGTACGCTGAACATTCCCAAGCTATATGGAGGCAATGGATAGCCTACTGATGTTCTTGGACTGACACATAGGAGGTCCTCATCTGTGACTTGAATTAAAGATCTTATCTTCAGTGGTAAGGATGGAGACATCAAAAGAGTCATCTCCAAGGTCTAAGAACAACATATATCTCTCAGCACCTACCATCAACAATATCAATAGTTAGCTCATTGATGGTTCAAAGCACATTGAGACCAAAGATGGTTTTGGCATCTTTGATGGCCTGACATTGGGAGTCATGGAAGTAGGCTAGTACAACCACCTCAGTATTCATAACAGTCTTCCCTAGACATGCTTCAAAATTTCTTTCCTCTTTATCAAGACCATAGAAAGTATCTCATCTGGACAGAAGCTTTTGGTCTCTCCTTTGCTCTCCACTTGGACTTTAGGTCTACCTATGCCATTTACCACCAGGAAACACAGTGCTAATAGAGTGCTTCTTGTCTGACAGTGCAATTGCATCGTCAA